TTTCCGAACAATAAGAATTCCAATTTACCGGCAGAACAACTATGGTTTCAACAAGATGGAGCTCCTCCACATTTTGGACGTGTGATACGGGCATATCTAGATGAAACTTTTCCTGATAAATGGATTGGACGTAGAGGGGCAATTGAATGGCCAGCTAGGTCTCCCGATATGACTCCACTTAACTTTTTTCTGTGGGGTCACTTAAAAAATGTAGTCTATAAAAATAGGCCGCAAAATATCGAAAAGTTGCAGGAAAGGTTAAGGCAGTGTTTTTCAACCTTTTTCATGTCGCGGTCAATTAGTAGGGAAAAATATTTCGCGATCCCCTACCTTCCGCTGTTTCTAACTTGTATTTTTTTATGTTACAAAGATCGAATCCGTAAATCATTTTTATTTATTTTTATAATTAGGTATCGGCTAAATATGTAATTAAGTACCTAAAACGGACGTACTTTTACATCGACTGCGTCGCCAACCGTCTTCACGGAAAAGCGATACGACAGTAGAGCTAAATACGCGCGGCCGATGCGATGAGCGATCTGTAATTAACCGTTTCTTAATAAATATAACATTTTAAACTAGAATGGTTTTAAGTCGTCAGTGCCGCGAAATGCGTGTGCCGTAGAATGGTTTTATTTTTTTTTACTTTAACGCCTCTAAAAGTAACTGCGACCCCTTTAAAGAGGCTTCGCGACCCACACGTTGAAAAACACTGGGATAAGGCATGAACTGTTCCATTGTTCCTCCCAACACCCTTTTAGATTCACTAATAAAATTTTATTCAGAGAATTTATTAAGTACTGCCAGGAAGTAGGTAAATGAAAGTGAACACTTTGAGCACCTTATGAAATAGAATTCTAATGAAAATATTTGCTGTTTATTAAACCTTGTTTTCTCACTTTTTTTATTCTGGCATAACTATTGTTTTCATAAGATTTGAAATATCCAGGATATTCATTAAAAAATACATTTTTTCGTTTCATGCATTTTTATCGACCCTGAACTATTATGCATTTTTATTTTCTGTAAAAAAAAACTAATAATAAAATATATAATATCCATATCATTCTCTATTTGGCTACTGGTAACAATAAAAACTAATAATAGGTAGTTGATTTCGTTAAGTATTGACGTTCTATGGTCTATTCCTCATGTCACCAGAATTTAGTTGAGGAATTGTTGGAAAACTTCAAACACTTGCCTGATGAACCTGAAACTGCATTTACCCCAGTCGAATTAGATCATAAAAGAGATGAAGACTTGAAAAAATTGTTAGTAGACATTTTGTTGCACTTTATGACGGGGAATTGTATTAGAATGATAATAACGTGAATTTTAAAAGTTAATATCGTAGATATAGACCGATCAAAATAACTCATTTAGAGGAAAAAAAAAAGAAAATTGTTACCTGGAAATGGTAAAGGGGCTTATAATAAACGAAAAAAAAAAAATAAATGCGTGAGCAGGGGCGGCAGACGGTTGATTTGGGGGGTTGAAAAGTTATGAAATTGTATCATTGGGATTTCTGGCAAAACAAAAAAGTATCTAACATAAGTTGTAGATCATGCAAAAATCTACAACTTTTGTAGAGGTCATTTTTTTACATAACCTCAAAATTTCCGAGAAAAATGCGAAAAACTGTTTTTTTTCTGATTTTTCGTTTTTTATTTCTCATTTCCGCAAAAATAATTTAATTTTGACGAAACTTGGTGAAAGTATACCTTTCTATGTCTTAAATAACCTCAAATTTTTCTATATAAAAAAATCAAGAAGTTTCCGAGATATTAATTTTTTTCGGCCTGAAACACTTTTTTTTTCAAAGAAAAAATCTACATAAAAAAATCATCGTACAGAGTTATGCGGGTAATCATTTTTTTCGTTTTGACATATACTTTTTGGTGAAATAAAAAAAATTGTAATCACAGTTCAAAACATGCTCAAAAATGTAAAAAAGTAAGAAATTACTTGCAGCAATGAATTTTTCAGTAATTGTTGATAATTTGTTTAAATTTAAAAAAAAAATCAAAAACTGATTACACCATTCAATTGTACGGAAAAAATACAAAAAAAACTGTCTCATTGTTTGACCCAAAACTATTTTTATACAGTATTGCTATAAACATAAGTCGAGTAGTGAATAAATAAAATAAATAATAATTTTTTTCCGTAGGATCGATTAGTGTACTTATTTTTTTTTAAAGTTTGACGAATTCATAGATATACAGTGTGTCCAAGATAAGGATGGGATAGCATTAGGATCTAGGAAACGGTAAGAGATACGGGGTGGCTCAGATTAGAAAAAAGTTGTGTTTTTTATACCTAACAATATGCTGTTTTAAAATTAAATAAGTTTTAAAATTTGGAGTAGTTCCGGAGATATCCGGAAAAAAACGAAATTTTGCAAAATTGTTTAATTTATTCTGGGTTTATTTAAAAACGAATTTTAAAATAAATTACATATTTAGAATGCAACTTTTTTCGCTCTATACAATAGCGTCAACATTTTTGCAATCCGACGTTTTGTCTTCGAGGGGCCATCATCGGATTAATTTTTTTAAATACGTCGCTGCTATTTTTATGACAAAATCTAAAGTTATTTTTAATTCTGAATTGGACGATGTTACTATTGTAATCGCTTAAAAAGTTTTTAGTTTGTTTTAGCTATAATTAAAAATTTTTCCTGAGTACCTACGGCTCTGAACGCTTTCAAAATATCTATTGAATGAAGTCATAACAGTATAAAAGTCAATACCGCACAAAATATCCAACAATTTTTTACTACTGTTAGCAATACTAATTAGAAATAATAAAATTATAGATTTAAAAAAATTGTTGGAATTATTTCGTGCTGTATTGACTTTTATTATCTCTCTCTCTCTCCCCCCCCCCTCCATTAGATACAGGTATTTTGAAAGCGTTCAGAGTCGTACTCAGGAAAATCGTGGTGTGTATGTACAGAGCCTTCTTAATTGATTATAAGCCAAGTGACCAGTAATTTTGTTTAAAACTGCTGGAAGATCTATCTAGGAGGCTGTTTTAAAAACACACGATATTTTTCTCTAAAACTTTATTTTTCATTAAAAAAATAAACAGACAACGCTTCTTATCGCACATAGCTTAACCCCTTTTTTCTCTGCTAAGAACACTGAACTCCTTATCCCAGATCTCCTCCTCCTCCTCTTCTTCTTATTCAACTAAGTGAATTCGCGCGGAAATTTAAATTTTTGAAACAGGTTACTACAAAACAGCAATTTTATTTCCTTCGCGTTGACAATTACATTTAAAAATATGATTAAAACAATAAGGTCAAGATTACTTTAAAACACAACATTATGTTTTACCGACAGTGATTGGTGCGATTTTTCAAGAGATTCCATTCAACCAATCAGCGGTCGCATTATCACGAGCGTAGGCGTAATGCTTTGTCACTGTTCATTGTAAACAAAAAATTAATATTGGTGACACCTAGATAAAAAAATATCATCTTGTACCTACACTTTACATACGCGCAAGGTCTTCATAGAGCTATTTTTGACAACAACAGCAAGCAAAAAAGGAAATAAAATTAGTTTTGCCGAAACCGATAATGGAACGAAATTTTATTTTCAGCGTGTGTATAGGAAGCCTGCAGTGGTCTGTTTAACAAAAGGTTGTGATTGCGCGGCAAATCACATATTTTTTATCCCGAAGACGTTTTATTTTCCAGGTACTCTACGGGTTCCCTCATTTTAACAGCCGTCGGTCACCCTTGAATAGCAAACAAAGTTATTTTTAGTCCATATGTGGCTTTAAGAAAATTATGCAAACATACATACACATTTGGAGATAAAACATGATAAAGTATTTAAAGAAATAGATAATGTACTTGTAGCTATAATCTCATCTATATCGCTAGACTAATTTATTACTATTACTAATGTCACCTTGTTTAAAAGAATAATATTCATAGTTTTTTTCTCAAAAACGCTGATTTTATTGGTGAACTGCCAACAGTAATAATGCGGTTGTGATAAAGCTAGATATGTATTCACCTTCTTAGTCACTAATTAGCACACTTAAATGTGAAGATAGATGTGTTGTTGAACGACTTTTATATTCCCAAATTTTAAATAAGTTGATGGCAAAATTATTCCGAATGCATTTGAAGTTGATCTCTGTATTCACATATTTGTTGAAGACAGTGCTCAGTGATGAGATAGGCAAGTAATATGAAATATAATAAATCAATGAAACTATCAGGTTTAAGAGGCTTGTAATATATACAAAAAGATCGATCTTACTAAATAAAATGTACGCGGTGATCCAAAAAACTCGGATTGTCGTCATAAGTTTTACAAGTGACCACCTGTTGTGTTTTCCAGATTGCATAGAAGGAGAAATGTGGTTTCAACCATGCCGACACTGTAAATGTTTAGAGAATGGCACATATTTATGTGAACCAAACGCACTTAGTTATAGATTAGGTACGTAAAATGTTTCGTCTTTTTTTTCTAAACCTAAACTAAAGCGAATTTTTGCAAAGAATTCTCGGTAGCACAAATATAGTTCATTTTCACAATACTGTAACAACCAAAAAAATAAATAAATGTTAACGTTGGTCATATTATAGAACCCGGGAAACTTAGGATTGACAATACAAGATGGCGAAACTCTCACAGAATCTCTGTCACCTTTACCTTTATATAAATGTATGCCATTATATTTAGATATAGCGTAGTTTTAGTTTATAATCGATCATTTTTTATACTACGAAACAAGTTCCTAGACATTGATAAAGTACCGCAATCCGTCAATTTGGGAGTACTATATTTTCTATGGACAAAATCTGTATTGCCAACCTTGAAATATAAAAATTTAACTTAATCCAGTGACTAAGTTTTTATGAAAGTATAGCCATCTAGTGTTGTCATTCCTAAATTTCACTTGTTTTTACTATTATATATAAAAAAAGGATGATGGATTATACAGAATTATTTTTTTCAGAAAAATGCGTAAAAGATGTAGTGATATTCCGAAATAATTTCCGATGTCACTGTGCAGAAAACAATGCAACAGTTTGTGTCCCATTAATTTATCAAGAAGGTAAAACCAATGGCCATCCTTAGGCCACAAAAGTATTCCAAGGCCAAACGACTACCTACCTACTTATTTTTTTAGAACTTGACGGCAAGACATGTTCAGGAGATTACTATTATTACGACTCATGTACGTTTTGCGAATGCGATGACAGAAAAAAAAAGTTGCAATGTATGCCCATTTCTAATTGTCAATTGTCCAGCGGAGGTAAGAATGATGTACTAAATATTTAGCTAAGAATTATAAATTGACGTTATAGGCATATGCAACGACGGCGAAGTAGTTTTTGAAGATAATTGCTACAAGTGTAACTGCGCGTACACAAAATTTAAAAAGTGTGTTCGCTCTGAAGAGTGCCTCAATGAAAAAAGTATAAAAAAATATATTTTAAAATAAAAATTTCTGATAGATTACATTTTCAGAAAAACCAGGAAACTGCTACATTATTCAGAATTATTATAACTCGTTAATTCAATTCTTCTGTACATCGGCCCTAAAACAGGAATGTTATAACGATTATGAATGCCCAGGAATAAAAAAATGCTGCCGTGTTGTCGACTGCTATTTGCGATGTGTAGATCCTTATTTTGATTAAACATTCCGTATATAATAATCTATCACTATATTCTGTATTATCAGAAATAAATTTTCCTTTCCAACCTTCATGTATATGTTTTGCTAATCAATACTACTACAATACATTTAAATGACTCCGTATATTACAGTTACACAGGTACAGACGGTACAGTAGTGACATCTATTTGTTATGAACATGTACTAAACACTGTATTCCGTTTTCCTTCCATTGAACACAAAGCTCATAGGTTTGAAAATGAGAAAGTTTATTGGCTGTTTCCAAAACAAACAACTCGTTTTCGATGGAACAGCCAATAGCCGCTTGCGCTTTTGAACTCGAGACGTTCATGCCAATAAACAATAATGATAAATACATGTTGGCAGTGGCAGCACTGTTTATTATTACTTTTTGAATTATTTTATACTTTGTTTTAAATGAATTTTGCCCTTTGAAATATATATTATAAATTATATAAATAAAAATGAAGCTAAATAATTTCGAGAACGAACTTCTGGCTGACTGGGTGGATGAGTTGAAGTACAAAAAAGGTGATTATCTAGAACCTCTCGTTTGCCAGCAAACCATAAAACTGATAAAATTGACTTGTACCACTTTTAAACAGGATATTCATGTATTTATAATGTCTATCGATACGCTTGAAGATTATATTCGAAGGAAAAACTTAAAGAACGAAGAGATCTGTGAAAATGCCTTAGTCATAGCTGCGATTGTGTTTATGTCGAGTAAGTACATGGGGGAGCAAGATTTGAAAGTGCAATATATAGAGAAGTTTTTAACAAAAATAACAGGAAAAGAATACGGTAAAAACGCCGTGAAACGTACCGAGATGGAGATACTCAAGACTCTAGACAACAAATTACCAGTTATTACACAAGTGGACGACTTAAACACATTTGTGACAAAATACGAGAGGGAATGCATGATAAAAGTCAGCATAAGACCACTTTGCTTAGATATCCTAGAAGCGCTGTACTTAACGAGAGACAAATGGTTCTTCGAACTCAAAACCGTCTATATCCAAAGCGAAGAAGCTTTGAACGTGTTTAAGTCGCTGATGAGCAGTAGGTTTTACTTACCCGTAGGTATACTGTTGTACACTTTCCTACACACGAATTACGAAAATTTTGTATGCATCGACGACATCATCGAGGAGTTAACGAATAGAATGCACATACATTCCGATCATGTGAGCCTTCTGGTGTCTAAAATACACGAAGTAGTAAGACTGGATGAAGATAATTAAAGATCGCTGTTATTATAGTCGTTGAATATTTCAAATTGCTTTATTTTCATCATGTTCATGGAGAACCATTAAATAGTGTTAAGTTTGGATTGTACTGTTGTTTCATTTTATTTAACATGATAATATTAAAATAAAGTATTGTACATTACTGTCGATATGTTGAATTCTAAGGAAAAAGGTCTTACATTTTGCTCGAAAAATGAGCCGATTTTGAGTTCCGTTTTTTTTTATATTAAATAAGTTAAAACTATTCCACACAAAACAGTTGGAGAATTTTTTGTTAAAAATACAACTTCATATATCAAAAGTTCAAAAAATTATTGACAGAAATTTGCAAAAAAAATATCAAAGTCTTCAATCTGTAATACAATCAATAATAGAGACATAATTTTTTCCAAGTCAATGAAATCCATATTGTTTTGCCTACAGTAATGTTTTTCTCTAGTAGCTCTTCAGTGTCGATTAATACCAAAAGTCTTTTAACGAATAAACTTCTGTAAATGACTAAAGTTCTGAATTATACTTTGATCCATATGTTGTCAATGTGAGGTAGTTGCTTCACTTTTATTTTTCAATACATTGCTAATTTGCAATTTTTCGACACTACACATTTCCAGGACATAATTTTTGCCTCCTTTTTCCGAAATACAGGTTGACAAAAGGCGAATACAAGTTCTACGCCAGTGAATTGATATTACTCATAATTTTGAAATGGATTTTATTGTCCTATAGAGTGGTATCGACTTACCAAATTTTAGCAAAATTGCATAAGGCGTTTTGTAAAAAAAAAAGATTTCAAAACTGCAATTTCAGAGCCATATACCGACCAACAGAGCATTTCCGAACTAAGGTGAGTTTAGCTGCTAAATCGACTTATTTTGAGTCCCACTGTATAGTTCTTCCAAAGTCAGTTGAATATGCAAAAAAAACGTCTGTTGATAAAATTTAATGAGTTTCATAGACGTCCCTAAAAAAATTTTCTGCTAAAGGTAAAAAAATTACAATAATTTGTATATGATGTGTAGAAAATTTCTATTATATGTTCATTTGGCCAACAACATATTTTAATTATTTATGTCCTCAAACAATTTTGTTATATTTATGGTAAATTTCGTTTTGTTCCGTTTCAAAAGGTCCCCAAATTGCCATGTTGTGATAATATTAGCAAACAAAATATCCCTCTTATTTTTCCCATTCGCAATTGTAATATCAGTGATTAATAGAAGGTGCCTATAATAAATTAAAATTACCTGATTCACACCAAATTCCGCATTGCGGCACTGCACTGCTGGGCAATTCATGAACCACTTGTCCTCTGCTGTGATTTATTGCCCAGTAGCCCAATGCAACTGTAATCGTTTTCCTTTACCCGTGCTCGCATTCTTCAACTGAGAGAATACATTTCTATCACGTTTAGTTCGATCAGACCTGTTTATCGATATGGCTAAATAAATATGGGAATAAGTTTTTCAAATATTTCAATGCCGAGTTGCTGCGTAGCGACCGAGCCTGGTACATATCTTGAAGTTATTGGTTCTTCAATTGACTTCGGAAAAACTATATCTGTTGGAGCATTGTAAAGACCTTTTAGCCAACCGATCAGAAAAAACGAGGGTAAATCGTTTCAATAAATTAAACAAATATACCCGGTATGGAGAAAAAATAATACAAGAATATCTATCCAGACATGTATTTGACCCAAGTTGATCCTATACTAGAATCGTATTCGATGCAAAGTGGAGCAAAAAGTTGTCTTTTATCAAAGGAAAATCGTGTCATCATTTTTAGGAGGCGTAAGGTGAACCATTTCAAATTTAAAATGAAATTCAATGTAAAATCTGAAAAGCCGCTGCATATGCACTGTGTTCTGGTAGTAGCTGTAGTCGCCCAGGTGCATCGAGTGTATGAAGTGGTCGGTTATACGTCAAATACTAATCTGGTGAGCTTGATCGTAAAACAGAGAGCGCTTCCAAAAAGCAAGTAAACAACAGTGGAGCGTACAGAGGTAAAATGTAGTATATATGTGGAAATTAAAAAAACAAATTGGATTTATAATAAATTACATTTAAAATAACTAGTTTATGAGAATAAAGGAATTTTTGTAAGAACAAGGGTGCCAGATGGGAACTGATCTCTTCGTCCCTTCATAATGTATAAAGAAATTATTCGATTTCTAAGACCCTCAAAAGCGTATGGCACTGGATTCCTTGACAGGCAATGATTTGTTACTTTGCATCGAATATGATCCTGCTATAGAACTAGAACCAATTCATTATAAAATGTTAAGAGAAAATAGGCAACCAAAAATACAATTTTATTAGTTTGTCTAAATATGAACTAATGCCCAAATAACAGACTTTCCTCCATTTTAATACATATTTTCTACCAAATGGACTTGGTTTGAAACTCAAATTACTTTTTGGTGAAAAGGAATTTGTAATTTATGATGTCGTTTGTTCAAATTTGCAAATTTCTTTATAACAAAAAATAATTTGAGTTTCAAACTAATTCCATTTTATTGAAAGTCTGCGTCTGTTATTTGTGCATTAATTCACATTTAGACAAACTGTGTAATAAAATCTATAAAAATGTATTGCTGGTTGCCTCTTTGCTATAGAGCCCTTTTAAGAACGGAATAACTGAAGGTATACCTTTATGAAAAAAAAACAATAATGGCTCTACATCTGATCCCTGGGGAACCCCCTATGTAGCTAAAAAGTAGTCGGATTGATGAGTGTTGTAACGCTTTCACTAAAACCAACTAGTTCAGTTTTTTTATTAAAATATTATGATCAACGCGGTCGGAAGACAAGTCGGTGGATACTACATCGAGAATATTAAAAAAAATATAAATTCCCGTAACAGCAAAATTGTCCGTTATTTAGCGGTATCCGCTATTCAGAGTCTGGAAAAAGACTTTTATATAATTGTTCATTTGAAATTTTTTCAAAATTGAAAGTTTTAGAAAATAAAAACGAGTTTACAAATCATTCTTTAATAATCACTTTAGCCACTTCACGATATAATAATTCCTCTTGCCTACTCTAAGCAACGTAACGTTATTCCTTAACCTATGAACACCGAGGTTTAAAACTTCGCTAGGATTGTTCACCTTCTGTTGATTTATATAAAACCCTCCCGCTGAGATGATCCTAATAGCATCGTCTGAAAAAAATTAAAAATCAACTTACTGCTTAAAAAAAAACGCATCAAACTACCTTTACTCGGGAAACATCCCGCTTTCATAGCCAATTCAAGCACGTCTTGCCCCGCTTCTGGCATCACGTTCACAATTGTAGCCCCCGAGAATAACTGCGCGATATCCTCTGTATTCATTTGCCCCAAGGCCGTGACGCTGCCCTCGTACAGTGCCAACGTCGCCTCTTGCGCCTTCTTTAGACCCTCGCCTCCGTGGACGAGCAACGTAACCTGCTCCGCTAGTCTCTTTTGGGGCAATCTCAGTTCAGGTTTCTCCCGATGCCGCCTCATGAGGTCCGAAATGCTGCCGATTTTGTCGAAAGTGAATAGTTTTAGGAATTTTTCTACTTCCGAGTCCGGCTGCCGCATCCAGAACTGGTAGAACGTGAATGTGGAAGTTTTTTCAGGCGCCAGCCACACGGCGTTGCCCGCCGTCTTGCCGAATTTGTCCCCTATTTCCGTTGTTACTAAAGGAACTGTTAAACCTATGAGAAAATGCTTTATACTACACGTCTAATGCTGAAAACGTTGATAACGTACCGTACACTGGTTTTTTACAAGCTTTGCTTATCAATTCATGGCCAGAAACTATATTTCCCATCTGATCGTTTCCGCCGATCTAAAAAAATGTTAATAGCAATTTAAAATGTCATTTATTTACATTGAAGAGTACCTGGAACATACACTTGTATTGTTTAAATAAATGCAACCAGTCGTAAGCTTGGAATAACTGATAACTGAACTCCGTAAAGCTCATTCCAACGGACGAATTCAGCCTACTTTGAACGCTGGTCCTAGAAAGTAATGTGCCCATCCGCATGTGCCTTCCTGCACCACCAATTAACTCAACGGCACTAATATTCGAGTACCACTCTTCATTATTAACAACTCTGAAGTTAAATCACACATATAACTTGTCAAAAGCAACTTCTGTTTAATACGTTTTTTAAACCTATTAATTTAAAATAAACTAAACAAGGCTAATACAATTATTACATACATTGGCAGTAACAGCGGATCCTCATCGTTCCAAATATATTTCTTGTGATTGGAAAATACTGTTCTTATGTTCTCGCATATTCCCCGAACATTATCGTCTATGAAACTTTTTGAAAGCACTTCTCTCTCCGTGTTCTTCCCACTGGGATCGCCAATTTTTGCGGTGGCGCCTCCTATCTAAAATTACTAGTCTGGATAATAAAACTGAATACTTCCAAGTCCTACGTTACATACCAGGGCTATGCATTGATGTCCGCTCCTTTGCCAATGCAACAAATTATTGAGAACTAGTAAATTCCCCACATGTAAACTATCTGCAGTAGGATCAAAACCTGCATAGACTGTCCTGGTTGCAGCGTTTAATATGTCGGTCACTGAATTTCTAAGATAAATGCAAATTTAAATACAACCCTTAACGATTTCCTTTACTTACGCTGCGTTGTCTGGAAAAATATCGTGAAACATGCCGCGTTCCCTTAACTTTAAAATGTTTCGGTTTGAATATAATCTTTGGAAATACAAAACAGTTTGGCGACATTTTAATATATTATTCATTGCAAAAAATCATGTAAATTTTTGAGGTTACGGCCCTTCGAGCATATACTACTGGAGGTAGCATGCCATTGCGAAAAATGTAGCTGAGTGTGCGAGAGAGACAGACAATATCTCAGTATTTGCTGTCTCACTCTAGCACGCACGCGATTAGTTGTAAATGAATATTCGAACCAATCGCGTGCGTGCTAAAGTGAGAATTTATATTTATATTTATACAGCACCGTGACACGATGGCAATAACTTAAAGTCGTATTCCTTGGACAATTTTATATCGAAATTGCATTATACACTGTCCAAATCTCAATAGTTAAGAAGTTATGGGAAGGGCAATATTAAATTTAACAGTAAATAAATCTGGTAAAATAAAGAGCATGTTGAATAAAGTAATGTAATGTTTTATTAATTACGATTTTTTTATTGCTAACAGAAATTTAATTAAAGGTCTGGTTGTAATAATGCAGCTGCAGCCATATTTTTAAAATGTCCCCTCCACCCCCCCCCCCTGCACCCGCTGCCTAAAACACATTCTTGCTCTTCTAATAATGCAGCTGCAGCCATATTTTGAATTAGCTCGTCTCTGGTTTGCGGTTTATTAGAATTAACTAGACTTTTCATGGCCTCCTTTACCAAAGACTGGGTGTTAGAAATCCACTGGTTCACCTTACCTCCTCCCTCCTCCCTCCTGCTGTGCCATAAGCACGCAGGAGGCGGAACATATCGAGTCAGAGATGCCAACTGGTTAAGTTAACCCATAGAAATTTGTTCTATGAATTCCAACACTTCCAGCCAAGACCTGAACCAATTTCAAATTTGAATTAGTTCCTTGGTTCCGCTTTACCGACAGACCCGATCAGTTCAGCCGTCCATGTTCGTTGTGCAATGCAACGTAATGTCAAAAAGTGTAAAATGGCGTTGGATAATGAATTAGAAACAGTATATTAGTTTTTCCGGTTTTTAGATGGTTTATTTTTCGAGTTTTAGATGGTGTTGTGAACCTTTCAGGATATTTAAGTTAGTGAGTTAGTTGTAATCGAACAGAAATCTCTGCAAAGTAAGTAAACTAAGTAAAAAACACAACGAAGGCCACGGCTTCGCTTGGCGTAATATGGCCGACTCGTAAATGGTAAAACAGCATTTTTAATCGCGGTGTCTCACTGCTGGCTTTCAGGATGTCGGAGTCCGGAGACGTCCCCCAGCCCAGCAGCCCCGCGGACAGAGACAGAGCGCCCAGCCGGGTGCTAGTCGCCGACCAGGAGATGGGCACTTTGACCCCTCTGGAGTGGCAGAACCGGTGGAGGCAGCAGGACTCGTATGTGACCAATTTGGAACGGAAAACCTCTCAACAAGAAGGTACTTAGTTCAGTTATTATTCGTAATAGTGTCAATGGGGGGGTTGCATTATGTGCTGTATCTTGATGGTGCAGTGTAGTGTTGACGTGCTGAGCAGTGCGAAGTGGCGGGTGGTTAACATGTGCTCATTGCAGGGGAATTGGCGGAATTGCGGCAGACGTCCGAGAGGCTCAAGGCCCAGCTGTTAGATTCCCAGCAGCGCGAGAAGGTCCTGGTCCGCAGGTTGACCGCTAAGGAGCAGGAGATGCAAGATTACGTGGTTAGTAGTCACTGCCGCCACTCTCAAATGTTCTTAACATTGTGCCCGGTGCTGATAGTGCTACGAGTGATCCGATCAAGTTTACATTACTCTTTCAAAATTTCCTTAGCCAAAGTTGACAGTTTGACAGTCCATGACGCTAAACCAGTTTATAATACAAAGTTCCTCTCAGTGATAAATCGTCTGTTTTAAGCAGTTGTTTGTTATTTAAAGTATAAGAGTAATGGAAAAATGTGACTAATCCTGTTTCATAATGTCGGTATCTGCCTACAGTGAAGGTATAATATTTGGGTGCAGTTATTTTGCAGAGTATGTTATTAAACGCATATTTAAGAATCTAGCGCACATTTTTATTATGTAAATAATAGAGTGATTTCTCATTGTTGCCAGAGGCAAATTGTGGGTCAATGACTTTCAAAATGAGCTGTAAATATAAGTTGATTACACTTTGCATCAAAATTGACATGCTAGGTACTAAAATTGGGCCCCAATTTCAATGTGAATGGCTAGATTGATTTTGATAACCTTTTTTTGAATTTTAAGTTTATTACATGCAACGATACTGAAATATAATTTTTTATTGAATTATTTTTTAACACAGGATGCAAGAGAATTATTTCTTCAGGATAGTTAAATTAACGAATGTCTTAATCTTTTCTGAACAATTTATTTTTTTATTCTTGTCATCTCTAATTAAAAATTTGTACATAATTAATAAAATACCGGGAAATTTGTTTTTATTGAATTTTTATGGTGCACAAATTAGAATAGATGAAAACAAACAGACATAAACGAGAAGAATTTGAAAATTTGTGAGTTCTACAAGATATAATTGTTCCAAAATTATAAAACACTGAACATTTTTCTATTTTTTTGAAATTATTTTTATTGTCGAACATTCTTATGAATATTTTCCAGTTTTTTGTGAAAATACTGCAAATTTTTCAATTCTTAGAAAAGCAAGATTAAAAAAAAGAATTTCCTAAAATGAGGAGACAAAATTAAAAAAAAAATAGAAAGTAAATCAGTGCGATGGCTGAAAATGTTCATGAAAATTAAAATCACCAATATTTCTATCTATTTCAATAATTCCTTAAAATCGCTATTTATAGTTGTCAGTTATTATTTTTTAGTAGTCGGTTATTATCAATTGTCAAAGGTAGCATACAGGGTGTAACGTACAGATTGGGAATAAATTAAACGGTGGATTTTTTATTTCAAAAAATAAATATTTGTCATATAAAATTATGCTCTACGGGTTTTCTTTTCCAAGCTACAGGGCGCTAAGAAATTTCAAAAAATCTAGTTTTTTATCATTTTCAATGCAAAAATCTTTTTTCAATGCCGAGTCAAAGCATACTTCATAATTTTGTTATTTTTATTTTCCTATGTTAGCAGTGGGAAAAAAGTTTTATTTATGGAAAAAGTACAAGAGCTAGAAATAAAATGCAAGAGGGTAATTTTGTTTAAAATAAAAAGTGGATCATAAAAAAATGTTTTTACCAGTGACGTACCACAATTTTGTTCAAAAAACCTTACGGTACAATTCATATGCACGCCACTGAGTAACTTACAAAGTCAATCTTTTTCCTGTTGCTAGGGGATTATCAAATTAAGCTAAGGCTAAAATTTCGTTCCATTGTCTTATAATGTTCGAAAGTTATTGGAGAAAAACAAAAATTTTTTGAAACTTTTTAGCGCCCTGTTTTCTTTGTACAGGGTGTTATTTAAGTACTTGGCCAAACTTCTAGGGGTGATTCTTTGAGTGATTCTAAGACGAAAAGTTTATGTAAACATAAAAAATCGTTTTTTCGTTAATAATCCTTTAGCCGATTTTGTTGAAATTTGGCAGTGGTATTTTTGGCAGAAAGGGGCTAATTTAGCCCTAAATAGATTAAAATTAGTGTTGTCCCGGGGGGCTCCTTAAATATTTTGAACAAAAAAAAATGTGGGCCACTGACTGTTTTAAAAACTTCAATAGTTTTTTTCTCATTTAGCAACTAAAAATACAACTTTTTTGTCCCTTGAATTTTTTTTCTTGCTTCTGTTTTGGAGAAAGAAAATTTAAATCACTTTGTCCTTGGGACAACAATAAAAAATTTAAGCTACCAAACTATCAAAAACTGGGGTGTACTTGTTATTTTTTCCATATCAGTAATCTATTCTAGTCTTAGAAATTGTTAAAAATTTATGCGAGCTAAAAAAAATTTTTGTTTTAATTATTAAAAAAATTTTTCAGTTGCGCACGGACATGCAATAAAGTGATTTTAATTTTTTTCAAAATAGGGAGCAAGATACGAAAAAAAATCAAGAGGCTAAAAAGTTGTATCTAGTTGCTTATTGCGAAAAGTTTTATAAAAGTTTAAAAAAGTCTGGCTTATATTTTTTTTGTCAAAAATATTGGTTAACGTGCCCCCGGGACGCCACTGGATTTGGATTTAATCATTTTAATCTAGTTAGGGCTAAATTAGCCCCTTTCTACCACAAATAACACTGCCACATTTCAACAATGTCGGCTAAAGGATTTTTACAAAAAAACGAATTTTTAAAAAAGTATAACACCCTGTATCTTCAAAACGAAGCAGTACCAGACCTGTTTATATAAAGTTTTCGTCTTAGAATCATTCAAAGAACCTTGAAGTTTGGCCACATACTTAAATAACACCCTGTGTAATAATTGTAAAATTAAGAAACGTGCTAATTTTTTTTTTTGGATGAAATGAAAATTTTCGTTATTCTCAAACATTCTTGTAATTATATTCTCAAATTTTGTCAAAAATACTTTTTCAATATTTACAGAAGCAGTATTTCAAACAATTAAAACAGCACTCATTAGCATGAAATTTAAGAATATTCAGAAAAAAGTATTCCTTTCGCTTTTCCAAAGAGAACATTCATGCACAACAGTTTTTTGGTGCATGACATTTGTGAATATTACAAAGCCCACGTTTAGACTGTTCCCGCCTTTACAATACAGTAATAATAAATGAATAAATGACGAGAAAAGGGCACACAATCAAAATACAGTTTGTTTCAAGTATATGTTGTCTAATTCAGCTGGAGCGACTAGTGTTTCAAATTTTGAAGGAAAAAAACGTCCTCTTTTGCACTGTTGCATGATGAAAACTGAACTTTCAGTAAAAGTCAAGTCTACTTTAGTATTATTCGAACAGAATAAATCTATAATTATTCGAGAAAATGATCTTCAAAATCGAATGAAGCATTGGTACCCATTTTTAGTGCTATGTTAATTGTGATGTGAATATTTTTACAGTAACTGACGAAGTTTAGAAAATAACTACTGCAATTGAGAAATAATATAAAAAATTAAGTAATAATTGTTTAATAAGCTAGAAAAATCTATGAGAAATCGTAGTCGTATTTACAAATAAATCTGCTGTTTGTTTTACCCAAATATTGGGATGTTGAATAAGTTCTCACTGTTTTTTCGTGGAAATTAATGCTTTATTTAAAAAAATTAGTAGAAAACATGTCGGTGAAAGTATCATGCATTGTTAGCCACTACTTTTTTCCATCTTTCTAGCAGCTTTTTAATTCTATGTCGAAAAAACGACATGCCTTTTGAGGCTATCAAACAATTGACCCATTTTTTGGCACTCTTAAAATTCAATGCTCGGTTCAATTGCATCGACTGTAGTCGATAGCGATCTCCCGTGATTATTTCATTCGCATCGGGCAGGTCATATTAAACCTCACGCAGCTGACCACCAAATACAGAGCATAAACTTGGAACCATGAATATTCGGCTTTGCCGATGATGCAACACATGGTCAAATTTGCCCCACGATTTTCTATGCTTAGGATTATCGTAGCATATCAATTTTTCCTCGCCAGTCACAATACGATACAAAAAACCTTTCGTTTTCTGCCGTTGAAGCTGTTTACACATGCAAAGACATTTAACATCTCTTGATTTTAACTCGTACAGCATCTAATGTCCTTGCTTTTAAATCATTGTTAATGCTTTCGAACGTTTCAGAACTATTATGTGATCAACTCCTAATGATTCTGCAAGTTGGGTTAGCGTCTAACATAAGTCTTTATGAAGTAATGCCTCCAATTTTTCATCTTTAAATTGTTTCAGTGCGCTAGAGCAATTTTTATCCACAAAAATTTTTTTTAACATAAATTACTGAAATAAATTATTTAAAACATTTTTCTGTAGATAATACGTTTGAGTGCCACCCTTACAATTTTCTCTTGTATTTCACAATTGTATGACTTATTCTGTGTGCTTCAGCTCAGATTTCTTTTGAATAAATAGTACAGTCATTGAAGCTTTTCACCTCCGAATTCTTCGAAACTGAACCAATCGACTTGAAATATGGCAGATAAGGTCAATGAACATTAGTGACATATCATCGATTGACGCTTCCACCCTGTTGGGGGTTGACACCCCTTCTCGGGGGTGGACATTTTTTTTTCAAAAATTGAAAACTTGGAATTTTGAGTGAAAAAGAAACACTTTCAAAGTATTTTTCACGAATAACTCAAAAACTACACATTTTATTTAAAAAAGTGTAATAAACAAAAATGTAGCTTATAAATAAAACAAAGAAAATCGTTTTTTAAAAAGTGTTGTACGTCCTATACAAAGTGAAATATGGTTAGTGGAAGGGGACTTGTTTTGGGGGGAATACTCGAATCGACGTATTCAACGTCAAATAACGGATAAAGGATTAATTTTACGTGTATGATGCTACAGGAGTTTTTTGTAGTACTCAAAAAGACCTTCAAAATGAGCACTTAAAAAAGTTAATTAGAGCAAAATTGAAGGAGTTATCGTCAAAAACAGATGGGTTGCTCATATTTTTTAAGGAAAAATGAGCAATAAATGCTGTACCATTTCCATCAGAATTAAAATTATTCGTAGACCCTTTACAATTAGTTTTGTTTTAGTGTTTTTCATACAATCCTGAAGTTAGATCGGTTTAGAATGCGTATTTTTTTAATAATGTTCGGTAAAAGTTGAAAACGTATTTTTCATTATTCAAAAAAAATTGCCTTATTTATATAATAACTTTGAAACTATGAAAGATACGTAAAAAATGATAGACAACAAAAATGTAGCTTTTTTTTCAACAAATATTTTGCTTTTTTTATTCCTATAGCGTAAAAAATAAAGGAGATATCGCTGCTTGAAGTATTCATTTTAGTGAAAAAACGACCTGTCTCGAGCCTTTCAATCCTTTCCTGTTAAAAAACGAAGGACTTAAAAGGTTTTATATGCAAACGATCTCTTGAAATTATCTTTAAAATGCTTTTTTGTAGGATACTATAGCTTCAAAATTAACCGACTTATGGTAAAAAAAACCAATGACATTTTTTCGGAGCAAAATAGGCTTTCTCATTTTTATGTTATATATTATATTATACAAATAAAATAAGTAAAAAAATTAGTGTGATTATTTATATGCAGCGTAGCAATTTTTTTATGATTGATTATATTTAAAAATCCATTATAATAAAAATATTTTACATTAATATTGGTAAAAGGGTAGTTTATAAGAGCTGAAAATGGCAAAAGTAAAATATTCTTTCATAAACAATTTAAGGGAATTTTTATTTTAAATTATTGCACAATTATAGCATTCCAAGATATAAAACGGTAATTTTTTATCATTTTTTTAGCACAGGGGTGATTTATAAGGGTTGAAGTGTTATGAGATACAAATTCTTTCATAAGCAATGAGGGAATTTTTATTTTAAATAATTGCACCGTTAAAGCATTTTTTTATCATTTTTGTCAATACAGGAGTGGTTGTTAGGGGTTGAAAGGGAAAAATTCTTTTATTAGCTATAAAGTAACTTTTATTTTAAATAATTGCACGATTTAATCATTCCAAATCTTTAAAACTTAATTTTTTAACATAGGGGTAGTTTTTAAGGATCGAAAAGATCAAATATATCATAAAACATGTTCGAGAATATGGAACACGATTTAATCTTTGTGCTTGAACAAGATTTTTATCAATAGAATGCTTAAACCTTCATTTTTTCAATTTTTTTCACTCAGGGGTAGTTTTTACCCCTAAAAAACAAAAAGCGTCAATCGGGCTTATGTCCCTTTTGAACTTGAGCCTAAGATGAGCCTTATTCTAAATTTTCATGCAAATCCATGCAGTTTCAAAGAATTCGGATGGTGCAGCTGATTTTCAGCTTCAATGACTGTACTATAAGTAGTTCAGTAAAATTCCCCGCAAATACTCTTTTTCCGGCGCAAAATATGGCATGTGTCCAATTTAAAAGCGCGGTTTTGATAACGCCATCCGTTTTAAAACAGCGAGAACTTATTCGACGTCCCCATATTATACATTGTCACTCCAACTATTATTTTTATGTGTTTGCTGTAAGATTTGCTGTAATTTAAGTATTCTGTGTTGAAAAGAAGCGATGTTAAGAACATTTGAGTGTAATTTCCTGTTGAATACCAATAAAATAAAAATACACGAATCCACCCCACACCAAAACTGGGTCTAATTCATTTTTCTGCCGCAGTGTCAACTGAACGAATTAAAAACATCCCAAGTCCCGACGGCGTCGTCGCTCCGGTCCGCCCTGCTGGACCCCGCGGTGAACAGTCTCGTGCAGCAGCTGCGATCCGAGCTGCAGGCGACGCGCCTCAAACTCGAAGACACCCAGAACGAACTGTCCGCGTGGAAGTTCACCCCCGACTCGAATACGGGCAAGCGCCTCATGGCCAAATGCCGCCTGCTCTACCAGGAGAACGAGGAGTTGGGTAAAATCACGAGCTCCGGCAGAATAGCCAAGCTGGAGAGCGACCTGGCCCTGCAGAAGAGCTTCTCGGAGGAGATGAGGCAGAGCCAGAACGAGCTGGACTCGTTCCTGGCCGACCTGGACGAGGATGTGGAGGGCATGCAGAGCACCATACTGATCCTGCAGCAGGAGCTGAAAAAGGCCAAGGACGCCGTCCAGGTGCTCCAGAAGGAGAACAGTTCGCTGAAGATGGCGAACGGTCGGCAGAATGGTGACAGTAGTGTGTGCGAACAGGAAAGGACCGACTCGGAGTCCGAGAACGAGAGGACACGTGTGAAACGCGTTAGGAGGTCTTCGGTCCTGAGTATCGACTATAACGAGGATGATACGCTAGTTATTAATACGAATGGTGACGTCGCTATGTCCTCGGACCCAGAATAGTGGTAGCTGCAAAGTGCATACACTACAATTTTTTTTTTCTGGTGGTTTCACTCGAAATGGGGTTTTATCGTTTCAGATCGCCGCACTAGGTACCGTCGAAAGTGATGTTTCTCACCTACCTTTTCCGATAATTTACGATGAAGGTCTTAACTTTTATTTTTTTTTACACGATTTTGACGATTTTTATTAAAAGAAATCTAATGTTTTAATTTGTCTGCAGTACTTCGGTTCTATCCCAGTCTATTTTCGAATTGATTAAAAAAATACGCTTCTCGTAACCAGAACGGAGCCCGAACATTAAAAATAATTTTCTCGCAAACGGCTGATACGTTTTTAACCATTTTTTTTTTATTATAGGTTTATTCTTCAGCAATGCTGATAAAATGTTTTTTTATTTGAAATAAAAGAGAAAAAATAAAAAACAAATTTCAGTTTAAAAAAAATACAGAGTAGTACTAAGCACAAGAACATGTAACTATAAAATTAAGAAATGCAAAATGTTTTTTGAAAATGATGAATTTTCTTTATTTTCAGTCACGCGAAAACCCTTAATTTCGTTTAGTTTTCCCCACAGCCCATATTTGATATTCCCAAAAAGTGTCATTTAAAAAAAGTTATTAAAGCGCAGAATGCTCCTAGTTTAGCATGAAATAACAAATAAAAAATAGATTGGTAAAAAAAATGCGTCTACAGGGTGATTTAAGTAGAGATTCGTTACTTTAGCTTCCAGAAAAAACTCTTCCACCCTGCATATGCAGAAAACTGAAATTTCAACAAAAACTCGTATTAGTGTGGTTGTTGAAGATAAACCTACAATTCAAAAAAAAAAGCTTGTCAAAATCGTAGTACGATTGGCGATAAAATTAACTTTGACATCGGGGTCCATTTTTTACACGCGTCGATTTTTATACGAAGTATGATTAAAAAACATTCTATTTTTGTTTGTGCAGTATGCAGGGTTATCGAAAAGTCCCGGTACGGCAGAAAAACTTTCCCTTCAAGGCCATTTGAAGGTCAAATTAAGTTTTTTAAATGGGAACCCCTATTTTTTATTGCGGATTTAGAAAGAGCAGGAAAAATCCTTACACTTTTGTCTGAAACATTTTTTCCCAAAATGCATTCTTCGAAAGTTCTGCCGTACCGGGACTTTTGGAAGTCAACCCACATTTGACCTTGAAGGTCATTGTCAAAGTCACGGTGAAGACCGTCATTGGATGTAAAATTTCCTGCTCTTTCCAAATCCGCAATAAAAAATAGGGGTTCTCATTTAAAAAACTTGACTTAACCTTCAAATGACCTTGAAGGTCAAAGTTAAGGTCAAATTCAAAGTCACCATCAGATAGCCAGGGAAAAATCCTTACACTTTTGTGAGAAATATTTTTTCTCAAAATGCTTTCTTCGAAAGTTTTTCTGTCGCACCGGGACTTTTGGATAACCCTGTATAGAGGGTGTCCCACCACAAACTCCATCGATGGATATCTGGGAAACCACTCTAAGGATTTTTTTGAAATTGTGATGGTGTGATACGGACCATGGGGCCTACCAAGCTAAAATATTTTCAAGGTCATCGTTATAACTTACGGTTATACCGGGAAGTCGATACTAACTTTCTTATTTTAAATGAAACCCCCTGTATATTATTGCATTTTTGGAAAGAGCGTTTATTTTTAAGTTGAAAACATGCACACTCCATACTTGGGACTGACCGTTTCCGAGATATTTTGATTTTAAGCAAAAATTGACAGATGCAGACTCGGCAAAAGGGTGACCGCAAAATCCGCCTGTTTTTGAGACTTTGACGGAGGTGACAGGAAATATCCTAAAAATATTTTAAAAATATCCAAAAACTCGGCATGAAAAATGAAAATGAGCATCACTTTCAGTTTTTCGAAAATCACGCTTATTTAAGGTTTGAAAAGACAAAAAAACTGAACAAATTAAGAATCATCAACAGTTGTACAACCCCAAATTTTTCTATGTTGTCAAAATAATTTTTTTTCACATCTACAATATTTGTATATTTGGGGGATGATTTTACCCCTTGAGAGGGATGATTGATGGGGGGTATGTGAGTACTTGTGTATAAATTATTCTAACGAATGTATTTCGAAACATTTTTTTCGTGCATTATAATTATTTTATGTACTTTGAAGCCGATGGTTGAACTTAGGGGTAGTTTTACCCTCATTTAGGGGTATTTTCCTTCGGATCTAGTGATTGTGGGTTATTAACAGTTCAATTATCACGTATGAAAGAAAAAGAAAAAATGTAACTTTTAATACATTTTTTGCATTTTTAGGCGTTTAGGGGATGATTTCACCCCTTTAGGGATATTATGGGTTGATTTTCAATCCGAGCAAGACCGTGTCAAATGCGAAATTAGATATGTTCACGTTGATAATATTATTTTGATAACAACATAGAAATATTTGGGGTTTTACAACTGTTGATGATTCTTAATTTGTTCACTTTTTTTGTCTTTTCCACCCCTAAATAAGGGTGATTTTCGAAAAACTGAAAGTGATGCTCATTTTCATTTTCATTTTTCAAATACTCGTCGTATTTGGATATTTTTAGGATTTTCCCCGTCGCCTCTTGTCATAGTCTCAAAAATAGGCGAAAAAATGGCTTTTTTTGCGATCACTCTTTAGTATTCCCGGAAACACTTGTTTATTTTTTTGTGTGAATTGGACATTTTGTAGAAGAAGACCTAATTTATCGGATTTCATATGAAAATTTCCCGTTTTTATACAGGGTGGTCAAAATAAATTTATCGAATATGAAGTTCAGGAAATGTGGAATACTTGAAATTTTTAAATGGAAACCCCTAATTTTTTTAACGTATTCGCATTCTGCACTGAAATTAAGTGTAACTTTGTTTCCCTATACCTAAACCCAGTGGTTTTCATTTTATTTCTGAATAAACATTTCCCTTTCCTTAAAGTGATGTTTCCATTTGTTTCGCACATTTTAGGTTGGCCGTGACAGGTAAGTAACAATCAACACGACGACTGTCACAGGTTTTTAATTGTCAAATTTATTTTAATAAATGTTCGAAATGTCTTCCTTCAACTTCTCAACTTCCTAAACATTTTTCACACCTTCGGATTGGTTCCTTGTGGGTCGCTGCTCTAATAGAATCCGGTGATAGATGCTCAAATGATTGCCTTACTCTATGTGTAGAGTTTTCTTTTATTGTTACTGGAAGACTAGACACACACTTTTTTTTTAGTGTCCCAAATAAAACGGCATCTATCACCGGATTGTATTAGAGCAGCGACCCACAAGGAACTAAATAAATTTGACAATTATAAACCTGTGACAGTTGTCATGTTGATTGTTACTTACCTGTCACGGCCAACCTAAAATGTATGAAACAAAATAAATGAAAACATCATTTCAAGGAAAGAGAAATGTTTATTCGTAAATAAAATGGAAAGATTTAGGTATAGGGAAACTTTAAAAAAAGTTACACTTAATTTTAGTGCAGAACGCGAATACTTTAAAAAAAATTAGGGGTTTCCTTTTAAAAATTTCGAGTTTTCCACATTTTCTGAACTTCATTTTCGATAAATTTTTTTTGAGCACCCTATATAAAAACTGGAAAATTTTCATGTCAAATTCGATAAAGTAGGTCTTCCTCTACAAAATGTCCAATTTGCACAAAAAAATAAACTTATGTTTATTAAATTAAATTTTGTTGTCAGTCTGCATCTGTCAATTTTTGTTTAAAACTCAAAATATCTCGGAAACGGTCAATCCTAAGTATGGAGTGTGCTATATGTTTTTAACTTAAAAATGGATGATGTTTCCAAAAATGCAATAATATACAGGAAGTACGGAAGTACGAGGACCTTGAAGATATTTTAGATTGGTAGGCCCCACGGTTCATATCACACCATCACAATTTCAAAAAAATCCTTCGGGCGGTTTCCCAGATCGATGGAGTTTGTGGTGGGACACCCTCTATACACAACACAACACTATAAACAACAATAGCAACTTTTCGAGAAATAGAACATTTATAAGATTAAAAAAATCTTTTATTGCTAAATTTTAAAAGTATAACAAATCTATAATCCTAGATCGTTCGTAAAACAAATCTAAAGTCACAATTTCAATTTCACTCGGATCTAATGAATGGATAAAGATATTTTATTAATCAAGACTATAATTTTAATCAACCTAAACGTCCATTTTTAAGAAACGCATTATTTACGTTTCGATATTCGGTGGATGTCCTCGATATTTATGAGAAAACGTCCCTTAAACTTTTCCTTCAAAAGTTCGCTTTGGTTAACGTGTGAGAAGATATCAGACGAAACCCCGAATTTTTGTATATAGTGTGATTTGCAAAGCAAATTGTCACGGGTGTTGTGTGCGAACGGCACCATTTTAATTGAGAATCACGATCAGACACCACGAGAGTTCCGTTTACTTCGCGTCCCACTGTCACTTGAGGGTTGTAGTGTATGTTTTCTTTTAGGTAGCAGCCGCATAAAGGTACTCTTTTTCAGTGAGTGAGCTATCCTGCTACGAAGACCGATACTTATAAACTGACGAACAGTATATTAAAGTTGTACATAAATTCATTACAGACTACAAACGGTTGGTTGATTGTGGACTAATATTTGTGCTATAAAATATGTTATGAATTTGTTGCAGTGCAGCATATCTAGCGTTTCTTTTTTTTTTCAGGGAGCAGTAAAAAAAGCAAAATATTTATTGGATTTATTTGTCTGTTCTCTATATACCTAATCGAAATGTTTTGTTTGTTACTGTAGGCTTCGGCTGTGCAGCGAACGATGTCGAATATTCGCGTTTGCAGAATATTGTAATATTTAATTAGTTTCGTTGCATATTTGAAGCTTATAGTATTTACTTGAAAAGCTGAAAGCATGATATAATTATGTGAATAATCTTTTTTTACTTTTTTTTATTCCTTCAGCGCTGTTTTGTTTTTTAGCTACTCCGGCATTGTAAAAATAATTCCTTTGTATAAAGCGATTTCTGGATTTACAGTTATTAGTTACAGTTATATTTTTTTTAATGTTTAAAAATTGTATTTTTTAACGTTTTTATGTTGAAAATTGTATAAAAATCAGGAAAAAATAATATATGAATTATTACAATTTGTTTTTTTTATTTCCGGATAAGCATTATATTTTTTGAAGTCTGTTTAAAAAAAGCTTGGAAAAAATAAGTTTCCGATCTTCAATCGTACAATCCGTGATTATAAACCGATAAATTAAACCCCATTCACAATCAATTCGCGGGCGAAGTCTGACTTGGCCACGCGTGCTTACCTTTCGCATTTCAATGTAGCCGTTCAGAATAAAATCTCGAGCTGGCAAGCGAGTTGAAGTGCGCGTGAAACCTCGCAAGCTGCAAACTTTGACGTCCGTGCCGACTTCCGTGCCGGTTACGGGATATGCGCAATATGATTGTTTTAATAAAATGTCAACATAATTTTAATTTGATGGAATTTTGAAATTAGTTTAACCATTATGTTGATTAACCACGATGGAAGAATGGGAAACTTGTTATTCCCTCTTTTATAGGTAACAATGCTGTTGTTGTTGTTACTTAAAAAGACAGCTATTATAGCAATTCGAGCAAAAAAACTCCATTAAGACTTCTGGGTCTTGGGGGAGTAAGACCAATTCTAACGGCCCGGAGAAATCATGAATTTTATGAAAATTTTCTTCGTGAAGCTCGTTTCAGTGAGCCCAACATTTTTTTTCAATTTTATAATCAGATTTATCATAGAGTGGTCTGTAATTGGAGATACACTGTAATAAAAATTCGTCGCTAAACTCGAGAGCAGCTTGGAATTGGCTCACTTTATTTATTATTATGGATTATTGTACATTTTAATTTAAAATTTTGAAAACAAAACAAAATATAAATGTAAACTAAAGTATACAGCTAAAACAGCTGATTTAAGTTGAAGCCAACGCGCATGTACCAAGTGTCGCCTGAATTTTATTCTGAATGGTCAAATCCGTGCAGACTTTCGTGCCGAAGTGTAAGTTGGCTAGCAAATTGATTCTGAATGCACCTTTACAGTAAGTACAGCTTACATCGTAAGCATCCAGAGGGCATCTCGGTCAGTATCAAATCTGACAGATAAACGCTTTTTGTTTCTATCTTTTTAAACTATTCAAGCATAATCTACTAAATCACATTGGATTCGTAATAATAACAACATTGGTGCTGCATTTAACAGACAATGGTTTAACAATTTGCCTTTACTGAATTATTGAAGACGTTAAATTTACAATGATCGACCGAGGCGACATCTGGATGCAAACGGTCTAAGGTCTCCACTCCAGATTAGTTTTGTACTTGCTCTTGTTCTTATAGCGATTTCCATTGAGAAAACTGTTGCACACTGAAGTGCACCATTGACGTTCCATTGATCAAGTCGGCGCAAATTTTCAAATTCCATTGGAAATCTAGAGCAACAATTCTTGCTCTGAGTGCATATTATTTCGCATGAGGTCTTGGAGCTGGTGCCGGTGTCAGTACAAGAAAAAATGGCGGTAAATATGGACAAAGTTGTTGCTCCATTATTATCGTTTTTATCAAGTAGCAGTAGTGATGATGATAAAATGTATGTTATACCAGTTATACGCAAACAACTGCCAAAAGTGGAAGGATTCATTGAATATGTCATCTACAAACTTAAATAAGTGATCCGTTTCGTCTACAGGAATACACAATGTAATTTCCTCGTCGTTTATTTTAAATTTCTAATTTAATTCTTGGTTCATTGTACCTTTGAAAAACTTCAACTGGTCAACTGTTACTTTGACTGAATAAAAATCAAAACATAAACATAACCTATAGTGTCAGAAACCCACGCAAAAATTGTCATTCCATTGAGATTGCACCAGAACATATTCTCATATAACCAGTGGTGTCAGTGCTGCCCGAGTACAGCCCCAGTTTTCCCCACTGGAAATTGNAGTGATGATGATAAAATGTATGTTATACCAGTTATACGCAAACAACTGCCAAAAGTGGAAGGATTCATTGAATATGTCATCTACAAACTTAAATAAGTGATCCGTTTCGTCTACAGGAATACACAATGTAATTTCCTCGTCGTTTATTTTAAATTTCTAATTTAATTCTTGGTTCATTGTACCTTTGAAAAACTTCAACTGGTCAACTGTTACTTTGACTGAATAAAAATCAAAACATAAACATAACCTATAGTGTCAGAAACCCACGCAAAAATTGTCATTCCATTGAGATTGCACCAGAACATATTCTCATATAACCAGTGGTGTCAGTGCTGCCCGAGTACAGCCCCAGTTTTCCCCACTGGAAATTGCTATAAACAATAAAACAATGGCATTTACAACGAACCATGGACTATTACTATTTCCGACATAGAAATTTCAAGTTTAGTGTTCAATGATTAAACGGTCTGTTTCTGTTTTGTGGTGGATGTAATGGACGCTGTGGATTAAGCGAAGTGATTACAGTTTTAGTTGTTTTGAAAGAAATTGTAGCCTTGAATTTTAATATTTAATTTATACTTTATTAGTTTCATTGGAAGTGCGTATTTATAGTGTACTTACATCGTGCGAGCTAGTTCTACAGTACATTAGATATTGGAAATGTAAGTTTTCTAACCTATTGGCTTTTAAATATTTTAATCACATCAAACTTTATTGTAGGGCGAAACCTGGTACAGATTCTGAGCCGGAGGATAAGGACAGGAAGAAGGAAAGGGGCAGGGATAGGAAAAAACGCTCAGCGTCTGGTTCCAGCAGCAGCGATAGTAGAAGCAGGTAAAATACAAACAATTTTAGATAATTACTCGGGTCTAACTTACCTGTTTTTTATAGTTCATCTGATAGTAGTTCGTCCAGCTCGCGATCATCCAGCAGTTCAAGTTCAGGTTCGAGTTCCCGGTCTAGCAGTTCATCTTCCGATTCGTCATCATCGAGTAGTGATAACGAAAGAACCAGGTCCAAGAGAAGGTAACCGTGTTTTTTTTTTTTTGTATAATTGTAATGTTAATTTGATATTTATAGATCTAGATCTACGAAGCCTGTAACCAAGAATCGGGAACCGAAGGTAACTGAAAAACCAAAGGAGAAGGAAAAAGAAAAGAAGGAGGAGAAAGAGAAGGAAAAGGATAAAGAAGTGAAGAAGGAGGAAAAGGAAAAGGAGAAGGATAAAAAAATTAGTTCCCCAGCGAAGGAAAAAGACGATAAAAACCACGTCCGGAATAGATCAAGGTAAGGTTGGATATTCACTGTGATTTTGTGTGATATATCGGTGGCTTGGTATTTGTATAAACATAGTTTATAAAAGTCTAGTAATATACTCCTTATTTTCATTTGTAAAACTTTTACTGTACTTCTTATTACGCAAACATTTTTTCCGCTTATCAGATCGAGGTCCCCGAGGAAGCGCCGTCGCCGCTCCCCCACCCCGCGTCCCACGAAAATCCACATCGGCCGCCTCACCAAGACGGTCAACAAGGACCACATCCTGGAAATTTTCGGCATGTACGGCACAATAAAAAACGTGGAGTTCCCCAAGGACCACCTCCATCCGCACCTGGGACGGATGTACTGCTACGTTGAATTCACCACGGCCGACGAGGCGGAGAACGCCATGAAACACATGGACGGAGGCCAGATCGACGGGCAGGAAATCACGGCCGCCCCCGTCTTGATCCCCAAACCGCGACCTCTGCCCCCCAGGCGGTCGCCGCCGATGATTCACCGGAGGCCGCCGATGCACAGACGCACGCCGCCGCGGTTCAGAAGGAGAACGCCGCCGAGGATGATGAGACGCAGTCCACCGAGGAGGCGACCGCATTCGAGGAGTCCACCGCCGAGGCGGAGGAAGCATTCTAGGTCGAGTTCCAGTAGTTCTCGGTAATGTAATAAGGAAAGTTTGTTTGAAGTATTTGCGTTTTGAATTTTTCTTGTAAATTGGGCATGATTTAATGACAAAATGGTTTTGTATCATAATCAAACAGGAAATAAATACAAATTTTAATCTTATCCAGTTTCTGTTTTTAATTTTTGAATATTTATCAACAAATTAAAACGTACTAAAAGCATTTTTACAAATTCTCACGAATACAAGCAACAAATTACATAATAAATAACAAAAAAAAACGCATATTAGTGATTTAATACTTGTTTATATGAGTCTAAAGTAATCTCAAACAATAATAAACAAATCACGATAAATGAAATACACAAAAATACGAAAATAATCTGTTTACTCACCTGATTTTTACTGCATATGACATACTTGAAATCTTGCGGCTAATCTTTGAGTACTGATATCGGATTCCTCTTTCAAGGCTTCTGGCTTTAAGTTTTTGACTCTCCGAGTTCAATCCCATAATATTTTAAATGTTAAACAAGTCTTACAAAGATTTTCTCACTTGGTACTTGTCGATAATCTGATATCGTCTTCTTCCAACAACATCGTTTTCTCCTGATAGGCCAGTCATTATAGCTTTTTTTCGGGGAAAAAATACTATAATAAGTTTTTAAGTCATACACTTACGTTACACAAAGGTACTTCACACGAAAATAAAAATGTAAGAAAATCAACCGGTGGTAATGATGTATTAACTTAGGAGTTTGTTTTTTTACCCTCTTACCATCCCGTCGTATCATACCAGGTGTGAAGTCAGATGGCAGTAGCTGGTTTTCAGAAATGGCAATATGGAAGGAGAAAACACATTAGGCAGTTGCGGTGCGTTCTGGGCCGAGCTGATCGTGGTTTTTTACAAAATAAGTCGGATTTGGCAAGTGCACACAATCCTCCTCGCGCCCTCCTTTAAATTGTTGCGGTATTGTTGTAGTAGGTAAGAAAATGAGTTCTACGGAAGAGAAAGATCGTCTCGATCGCATCACGCTCTTCCGAGTTCTTTGGAAAAGAGCGGAGAACGCAATGCGAGCGAGATGAGCTCAGGAGCATCTAGTGCGAATGCATACATTAGAAAACATGGTAAGGAACTCCGCCGTGCGTGATCAAGACTAGCACTGTTTGGATGAGAGGGGACCGTGACCGCGTAAAGCGTTTTCTCCTTAAGAGGGCTCTATAGACAGATTTTATTACAGTTTTTCTAAATATGAACTAATGCACAAATAACAGACTTTCCTCCATTCTAACGCAGATTTTCGATAAAATGGAGTGACCTTGAAGCACAAATTACTTTTTGTAGTAAAGAATTTTGTAATTTACCGCTTTTGCACAAGCGGCATTGTAAATTACAAATTTCTTTATACCAAAAAGTAAATTCAATTTCAAACAAGTCCATATGTTAGAAAGTCTGCCTTAAAATGGGGGAAAGTCCGTTATTAATACATATTTACACAAACTACTGTGCAATAGAATTTATAAAAATGTATTGGTGGTTTCCTATTTGAAATAGAACCCTCTTAACTCAACAGCGGTGGAAACTTCCGTTGCCCTTCGTAAGCATTCTGAACGTGATCGAATTCTGCTTAAATTTAAATTGTTCACAATGTAAGTTTGTCGCTGTTTTCCTCATTTTGATTTAATTTAATATGTTTGGTAAATAATAACAAGGAATAAAACTTGTACATTGCTTTATTAATAGAGAAAAATGCATTAATTAAAAACAACGAAATCCAAAAAAGTTTCGTCTTAAAAATTCTACAGTTCGCTTTCAGTTTGCAAGATCGTTTTCCGCAGTCTCTCCGTCGCCACCGTTATCAGCTGGTCCCTAAATTCGGGAAAGGGCTCGATGGCTGCCAGAAAGTCCGAACGTTTCAGCATAAACAGTTCGCTGGCGGTGACTGCGATGACTGTGGCGACTCTGGTCTCGCTGAGGATCAGGGCTATCTCTCCGAAGTGGGCACCGTCCTCCAGGTGGCAAATCTAATGTAATGAGTGTTATTGAGGAGTAATTTTAATTCTCCTTCCGTTAATCTCCCAAACTTACAACGAGTGAGTTATATTCTAATAAAATTAAACATCATTGGAAAACAAAGATTTTTGCTTTATAATCTCAAAAATACTAAAAATTTTAAAATGTTTTGGCTTGCACATATGCTATTTGGCGGCATCCCAATGACTGAAATTTGGGGGCGAACCTTACCTCTTTTCCACTTGGGGTATAAACAGCTACCGTCCCGTGATAAATAAAAAACATGCTGGTGCCCGTCGTTCCGGCACTGATAATCACGTCTCCAGGCAAATAAATCTCCGATTTGAGCTGAGCAACGACTTTCATCAAAATATTTTCAGGTAGGTACTTGAAGAAATCGACCCTTTCTATGTGGTTCCTTGTTACATGCAATAAGATTTCCTGAAAAAACAAAACGGTAGTAAAAATTAATGTCGCTACAAACTCCGTAACCGTACTTGTTTCAGTAACGGAGAAACCATATTGTTAATGTCGGATTCCTTGAAAAACTGTTTGTGGAATTTGAACTGGAAATAGGAGAATATCCTTTCCCTCAAACTGACAGGTAGTTCCTTGTATTTCATGTATTCCTTGAACTGTTTGTGCAGAGAATGGTGTTTGTTTTCCGCGCTAGCATATTTCGTCCACACCTGCAGTATTTGGGCTGAAAAATTGTATTCAAGTCGTGAACGAGTAACCAAGAACGTCCTATATTACCAGATTCTCATTTCTGATGCGCTATTGTTTAGTGACGTCACTATCAGTGGTGTTGTTAGTCCCTACATTTAAACGATAGAAGTCGATGTGTTTAATCATTTTCGTAGCTATTACAAGATTATTTACATTGTGAAATGCGATTTTAAACAATATATTTGTTGTGGGTGATACGTGTTTATTCTGAACTTAAAGTAATTCCAGTAAGTTCAATCAGGGTACAAATTTGAGGTTAGGGTGTAGTGTTGGGCAGAAACATTTTGGTGATTAAGATCAAGGCGCAATCCACCTTCCACCTACTGGATATTTTTTTTAACATAGTTTAGTGTTTTTGTTATAAAATGATTCCTGTAAATAGTTTTCGTAGGTACCTGTTGAAAATAAAGTTATTATTATTTAAGTGCTCACCATACACAAACAATTGTAGGCCGAATCCAAAGCACAGAAAGAAAATGGCGTTTAGGTACTCGGGCCATTCCTTGATGTCGTGCTTTCCATAGCCCACCAACAGGAGCATTAACGTAGCCTCGTAGTAGCTCCGAAAAATTCTGTTCCCCAAATTAATAGTTTCGTCCCCACTAAGGAAAACTTCGACGAAATACTCCACGAAGAAATTAATGGAGAAGGCCCAAAAGGTCACCACGAAGAAAATAAGGACGACTTTGATGCCTTTAAAAAGGTAACTCGAGTAACCCATGTACTAAAAATAACAGTTTTTTTTCCAAGTAACTACAAACAAATACAATTTACGAACCTGACGAAATAGATCCAATATGTACAGCCACCTGCTCATCCTGGCGATCTTCAGTCTATTGAAAAGTCTTAAAGGTATTTTTATTATTTCTGTGTCGTTAATAACCAGAATATTCATTATCCTCAATGGGAATAGAAAGAAATGCAAAGAAGAAATGATGTCAAAGAAAAAGTGGCCGGTTAAATATCGCCTGCAACATAACATATTATTTCAAATTAATAAAATGCTTAATTCCGTTATTTCTAAAATTCTGTCGCCAGTGCCATCTTACGGATGACATCTGACAAGTTATGTGTGAAGCAGTTAGTAATAGATAGCGCGATTTCCCAAATTTGAATTTTTTAAAATAATTTTGAAGCGGGGGTATACGATTGGAATACTAATATAATAGTAAATATAGATTTCGAATACAAAATCGATTAATTTCTTAACAATTTCGTTTAGTTAGTGAGTGTTAACGCTTACTTAGCTACGGCGTTGCAGTCGAGTATCACCTTACTCTTTTCTTCGTGATAAAACCCAGTGAAGAACAGTTTGATTACATCGGTTATCTGCATCATGTCCACGACGAATCTGGCCCAGTCGACTGTTACCTTCTGATACATTATCATCGACGCGTCTATCGGGATGAGCAAAAATTGAAGAGAGAACACGAAAAACATATAGAACTCCCAGAACAAACTAAAAAAAAGTGCTAAGGTAAAAGAGTTTGTTTATATATATGCTTTTATAGAAAACGGTTTTTCTAAACGACAATTTTAAACTGAAATTCGAAAACATTATCAAAACTTAAAGAAGCTTTAATAAAAGGGTCTCAGCAATAAGGTCGACTTAAACGTTTTTAATTTTCAGTGGTACCTATTTAACTTTATTAGACAAGGCGAAATCGGCGGGATTCGTATGAAAAAATTAGTGGATTCGATTGTTTTGCAGTTCCTAGCGGGCAGCCGACCAGAGCACACGTGTTTTTGTGAAAGTGTAGTGCAAGGAGCAATTTCTACCTGCCTTTATTAAGGCTACCTGGAAAGAATCCCTTTCTTTCCTTTTAATCACCGACCTAATCCCCGGCTTAAGCATAGACGCCGCCGGCATCTTTGTTACAGCACCTGTGCCGGGGTTATGCCCAGGTAAGTTTTTACTTATTTATCAGTTATTTGCATTACTTTAGAATACATTTCTTTAAAATTGCGACCCCCGACAAACAATATACCAGACAGACAAATACACCAAAAGACACGTACGCCCCCGTGAGGGGGCATCCCCACACGACTAACACTTACACACCTTCCC